GAGGCAGGCAGGTCAGGCTGCAAGTCACGGTGATGTGAAATCCTTCCCACCACACAAACCTGCTCCTCACCCCAGCAGCAAGACCAGGCTTTGCTACAAAAGGGGCGCTTCTCCCCCCACACCTTTCTTAGGGTGAGGCTCAAGCAAGCTCCTGTTGCTCATCCCCTCCCCAGACCACGGCCAAGAGGTTGGGCTGGTGCCTTCAAGCCCAGAGGAACATCAGACCCAACCGCAGGACAAGGCACGGTTGTCCCCTCACACCTCCAGCAGCAGCACGGTGTCAGCCTCACCCGGTCCCATGCAGCCTGCCCCGCGCTGTGAGCACCAGGTGAAGGGTCTCAAGCAAACAAGCGCGGATCCTCACCCTGAGGTCCCACTGCCCCACTCCACCCACCACTCTCAGCAAGAGGCTGGAAGGAACTCGGTGTCCCGCTGCTCAAGAGCTCCGTTACCACAATCAATATTTGGTCATGGCTTTCGCCATCTCAGTCAAGTCTAACTACATACTTGAGATCAAACACCCCAAAAGGTTTTACTCGTACTTCACCTCTCACCTAGCGCTCCACGTTCTTTCGACTCTCCAAGCTCTCCGAAAAGCAGCTTTCATCTACAAACTGGAGAAAGCCAAAGACTGGTGAGGCAGCAAAAGGGGCTGGGGTGGGGGAGGACCACAAACCCCGTGGGGTTACAGGCAACCTAACGGGAACAGCGTCAGGGAAACCAGGCTGCGACTCGCACGCTGCAGTGCAGACAGCAGAGATCATGCCAGAAAAAAAACCCCACACAAAGCCCCCGAGACGATCTAAGGGTTTCATTAAGTGAAGCTTGCACGCAAGCCAAAAATCAATACACTTGGAAAATGGCACGACAGCCGCCTGTGCCAGATCCGAACCATTAACCCATTTCTGTTGTGGTTACCACCTACCTCCAGGGTGCTCACCAGCCTGCAGAACACTCCACAAGGAAGCTATGTAGGACACAGAGAACACGGCTCGCAAACACGGACTAATTACAACAGAACGCAGGAGCATACCAGAGGTCTCGGGTAAGTATAGAGAGGTTTGAGACTCGGAGATGGGGGTGTCACCTCCTGTTTATTCACAGCAGAGGTCAGCGATCCAGGAGACCCCACCAGCAGGACAGCACTGCCCTGACATGACCCTTTCATGGAGCAGTCAAGCTCTGCCCACCTAGCGCCAAGGAGGGAGGGAGGAACCCCCGTTACCGAAATTAAGTCCCCAAAGCGTGCTAGGCCCTCTCTTTCGCACGGGCTATGCTGTCACAAAACACAAGAGCCCCTCAGTGGTGTCACAGGGTTTATTATCCTGTCTGTACAGTCCTCGGTAGATGCAGTTTAGATGATTCCAATCTGGAAAGAAGCAAAGCACGTTAAAACAGATGTGACAGCAGCAGAAAGGCAGAGCCTCCACTCTAGACATCACTGCCACGCCTGCATCTCCCCAGGACTCCTGCCCTCTGAGGACAGGATTCTTCCTCCCAGACCTGCCCAAGTGCCTGGCACAACCGCTTTACACGTTCGCTCCACAGCAACCCCTGTGCTAAGCCACAATCCCCTACTCCATGTTGTACCACCACTGCCTTCTGCCTACATCAACCACCTCAAGGACTAAGCTATCCACCACTGCCAGCAACACAGCCGCTGGCACAGCAGAAACCCCTCCTTTGCTCAATCCCGCAGCACTTCTGCCATCATTTCCCCCGTTTGAATCAGCTGCCAACAGCACTGGCCACCAACACTGTTGGGACAAACGCCGTTTCCAACCAGAGGCTGCAGGGCAGTTTCTGCATCCTCCCCGCTCAACACTGTGGAGCTCCTGCAGTCCTGTGGAGCGGAGCCCCTCCCTGGAGGAGCTGAAGAACAGCAGCAGTTCTCTCTCAGTAACTTTTCCCACCTCACCCTTCTGCCTTTCCAGGCAGACCTGTGTTTTTCTAGACAACACAGCCTTGCTTCTCAACACCTCGATCCCGTCTAACTACAAGGGACACTCTGCTTGAAGTGCAAGTACACTTCACTTGTACGCCAGGACAAACAACCAGGCACAGGAAACAAAAGACAACAGGAGCTGCAAAGCTTCAAAGATTTCTCACCTTGTTGGCAACATCCAGCGCATCATAATCTGGAGCCAGTCGGACGTAAGCCTTCTTCTCTCCATCAGGCCTGGAGGGGAACAGCAGGGATCAGGACAGAGGCACATGACTCCACCCACCTGTTCCATCATCCCGCTATAGCCGTGTGCATCAGTGGTTCCTTTGGAAACATCACTTTTACTCAGCGGTAAAAAAAATTCACATCATTTGCACAAGACTCTCTGGGTGTTTAAAAGAGCTCCCTGAATAAGCCGGCCCTCTTACGCTAAAACAGGCTGAGTCACAGGTTGCATTCTCAAAACTTTTAACTGAAAGCGCTATGGAGCTTAATCCCATACCTCCTGAAACTCAGATGTGATCCCATCTTCTGCTAAAAACCACTCTGGGCTCTCGAAACATCTTACACCCACCAGTGACCTATCCTCCTCCTCACCTAATCAGTGTGTTGACCTTGGCCACATCGATATCGTACAGCTTCTTGACAGCCTGCTTGATCTGGTGCTTGTTTGCCTTAACATCAACGATGAAAACCAGAGTATTGTTATCCTCTATCTTCTTCATTGCAGACTCTGTGGTCAAAGGGAATTTGATAATGGCGTAATGGTCCAACCTGCAGGAGAGAAGCCCTGTGGTTATCAGAGAGCTGGCAAACATCTCCTCTGCACTTCTGGGGTTTTCTTTGGGGTGCATCAGCTGCCAAAAAAAGTTCTAATCACAAAGTCTCAGGCTTTGGTCGCTTAAAATCATCACCTGCACCCCAAATACATCCCCCCCCGCAGTGCTCTACCACCAAGCTGTGTGCTCACCTCCCAGGGCAGCACGCTCCAAGGTGTCACCCTGGGACCTGCAGCGAGCCACAGGTGGCCACACACGAGTCTGCTCCCAGCCCGCAGAGCCCTGCAGCAAAGCAAAGCCCAGCACCCTAAACGTACTTGTTTCTCCGTGGGTTTTTTTGGGGTACTTGGGCTGCCGTCGCAGTCGCAGTGTCTTGGGCCTGCGGAAGGTGGGCGACGTGCGGATCTTCTTCTTCTTGTGGCTGTGGACCCCCTTCAAGACGGCCTTCTTGGCCTTCAACGCTTTAGCCTTCGCCTCTGTCTTCGGAGGCACAGCTGCAACGAC